GTCCGGGAGGGGTGCCTGTGGAGCCCCACCTGCGGGTGGCTGGTGAGTGGGTGGCTCGTTCATTCCCAGGCGCTTCCTAACGGGAGGTGCTCAGGGCGCGCACCTGGGGTCTTCCCTGGCCGCTGGCAGGAGGGGCAGGTGGGCGTCATTCGACGGCGGCCTGCAGAGGAGACGCGCTCCTGCGTGCACAGCTGCTCCATGCCTGTCCTCCCCGCCGTGGCAGAGTCCCCGCTGCCGTTCCTCTTGGGTCACACCTGGCAGGGGGGTTGCAGGGCCACCACCACGCACCACCACGCACCATCACACACCACCACGGCTGCGGCCTAAGCACAGAACCCACTTCCCAAGGCCTGGAGGCCCCGGCCCAGGCCCAGGCGCCCGCCCACCGGCTCTCCCAGCGTTTGCACGGCCGCCCTCTTGTCCGCGCGTGGGGGACAGAGAGCAGGGTCGAGTCCCTGGAAGGACAGGCCTCCCCCTCACCACCTCCTTTCACCCCAGTCCCTCCCAGAGGCCCCATCTCCAAACACAGTCGCCCTGGGCTCGGGGCTTCCACGTGGGAGTGGGAGGCCAGCGGTTCAGTCCTCAGCAGAGGGTACAGCTGGGGGTCTGTGGGGAGGGCGCTGGTGGGGAGCCTGGGGGGCGCCTGGGCTTGTGTCCGGCTCCAGGCCAGGATCTCTGGGCCCCGTACGCCCCGGGGTGTGAAGTGGCAGCTTCAGTCGCTGTCTGCCCTGCTCGGGGGTGTCGGGCCCGGCGTGAAGGGTGCTGTCGACTCCTGGCCCTGGCTCCGCAGAGGCCCCCACAGGTGCTGCCACCCACAGGGCCCTGCCCCGGGAAGCTGGTGCCCACGGCGAGGCCAGGCACACGCCCCGGTTTGCAGGAGAAATCAGAGCGTCTCCCTGTAATCGGGTTCACATATTTTTGGCAACTGCAACTGCTCATTTGTGTGAGTGGGAGGGCCTCGCAGGAGGCTGTGCTTCTGTGTGTTGGCTTCTAAGCTGGGGTTCACACCACCCTGGCCTCGGGGTGCCCTCCTGGGCCTCCCCCACTCAGTGCCCCCCAAGGGCCAGGCCCTCAGAGAAGAGTCAGACCACCCTGTCTGTGAGCCCCTGGGGGGCCCTCGAGGCAGCACACTAGGCGTTAAGCCGATGGGGAGGATCTGGTCCTGATGGGAACAAATGAAAACCCCTTTCCTGTTGTATATTCTGCTTCCCCTCCCGGCGCCACCCCTTCCATCTCCATAGCAACCCACATCCCCAGGAGTGTTCCGGGCCAGAGCTCCCGCACGCCTCCGCTCGGGTCTGAGCCCCACTGGGCGCCGTCCCTCCTCCTGAGGCCTGTAGGGACCCACCTCCCCACACAGGAGCCCAGAGCCGCCCGGGTGCAACCCACCTGGGAGCCATCGCCTGGGACAAGTCTTCCTGTCCCCGCGCCTCAGGGTCCTCATCCGTAGCAGGACCCTCCTCCTAGGAGAGGAGGGACTCTGAGCAGGACTTGGTCCCCGACTGCCATGGCAACAGCCTCAGGAGGGGCGCGGGGCCACCCACTCCTTCATCCCCATCCCTGGCCGCCCCCCACTCCCTGGGCTTGGAGTCGAAAGCCCTGAGGTCCTGGTGGACCCCCTCCTGCCTCCCCCTCTCCACACCTTGACTTCACCTACTTTCTTCTCCCTCCCCCTGGGGCCCCCACGGACTCAAAGACCCACCACCACGCAGGCGCTCAGTGATTAAGATATCATTTGTGCGGGTTCATGGGTCTTGTGTGTCTGTCCTTGTGGGACCAGCCCGGTGCCTGCCAGGCCGGATCTGTGTGGGGGGAGGCGGGAGGGTGGGCGGGACCAGGACGAGCACGCTCCTTCCCCAGGTCCTCCCTTACGACTACTACGGGGCCTACGGGCACCAGGCGCACCAGGACCACGCCTACAACCGGCTGCTGGGGGCCGAGTACACCTTCGACTTCCCGCCCCACCACGAGGTGGTGAGTCGCTGTGTCCCCCAACCCCCCCCC